TTGGGGTCTCCTCTTTGACCCAAGTATTCTTTAAAAGTATATTCCAGGTATTTTCATAGTATTGATTTATTGTCTAATTGTGTTATAGTCCTAAACATTTTGTATTATTTCAATTCTTTTGTGTTATTTGAGGTTTGTTTTATGGTTCAAAATATGGTCTATGTTGCTCAATGTTCTGTGTGCATTTGGAAAGGATGCTATTGTTGGATGGGCTGCTCTCAATGCCAGTTAGGTCAAGTTGGTTGACACTACTGTGCAGGTCTTTTATACCCCTCCTGACTTTCTGCCTGCTGGTTCTATCAATGCTGAGAGAGGAATGCTGAAGTCTCCAGCCATAACTATGGGTTTGTCTATTTCTCATTTTAGTTCTATCCGTTTTTGCTTCATGTGATTTGAAGCTCTGTTGTTAAGTACATAGATATTTAGTATTGTTATGTAATGGCCATCTTCATCCCTACTAATATTACAGGTCTGAAGTTTAATTTGTGTGACATTAACATAGACACTCTGATTTTTCTTTTGATTGGTGTTAGCATAGTACATCTTTCTACCTATCCTTTTACTTTAAAGTTATCTGTCTTTATAATTGAAGTGGGTTTAAATGATGTGCTTAGAAGAGATATTTTTTATAAATAAGAAAATATCCATTATGTTTGTGATCCCAAGATTAATTATTTTTTCTGGGGTAACTTCTTAAAGTTTGCATTTTTACTCAGCTTTTTTTAAAGCTGTGAGAGGAAGGAAGATGGAAGAATCTAATTTGAGGTAAGGGAATTGGCACCATGTTAAGCCCTCTCTAGTCTGCCTAATACTCCGCTAGATCCTTTGCTCTCATCACTGAGTGTGACAGGATTATTCTCCCCAACTTACTGACAGGCAATTCTGGCCCCATAGCACAGGCTGCCAGTGGTCCTCCATTTTCATTCTCCCCTTCTTCCATAGTAATAATATAATACCTGGGCAAGGTATTAGAGCACATTTACCAATCTCTTTTTTAATGAAAGTTGTCTTGTGACTTAGTTCTGGCCAATGAGACCTAAGCTGAAATGTAGTTCCTGGAAACTTTCCCCAAAGAGAGCACTCTCTGTTTCTTTGCTCATTCCTTCCTCCACCCACTACCTGCAGTGCAGATACGATGGCTGCAGCACCACTGCCATGCCGGACCATGAGGACAAGGGCCACAGTCTTGGGCAGTAGAACAGTGAGCCATAAGCATCCTGGGCCCCTGTGCACTCTGTGGAGCAGAACCATACCTGCCCCTGGGTGTTCCTCCTGACTTCTGTATAAGAGAGAAATAAAAATCTACCTTGAGTAAGCTTCATTCTTTGGGGAGTTTGTTTTTTGCCCCTGAACCCAACCCTAATGAACAGTCTGAGACCAATGAACATCGTAAGTGTTACATAATCACAATCTACTCCACGTTTGGACAGATCCATACCAGCATCTGTTATGGTTTTGTGACAAAGTCATACAGAATTGGAAGAAAAGGCTATTTTATTTTATCTGATTTTTCAATTTACTAAATTAAAAATTACAAAAATAATTTGGTGGTGGGGCTGAGATGCCATGGAAAACTTACATACTGTGTATAGAAGATTTAGACTTGGGTTAAGAGTAGACTCTGTCCCATACCAGTTGTATGTTCTTAGGGAAGTTACTTAATCTGTCTGGGCCTCAATTTTCTATAAAATAAAGATACCAACACCTACTTCATTGAGTTGCTGGAATGAATAAATAAAATATATGTGACAGAGCTTGGTAAGTACTAAGCACTATGTAAATATAAGGGGTTATAATTATAAAATTGGAAGACAAGTTATATGTATAACCCAGAAAGGTAAAGTCATTACACATACAAACTCACAGTGGTGTTTGTATGTATGTGTGGGTTGCTAGTTACAAATGAGAATACATTGAAAAATCCATTCTAGTAGTAACTTAAAAACATAAAAAAACAACAATTTGTGGCATATTGTTACAAACATAGATTTCTATCGTATCATCACATCAAAGATGTCAGAATCCTTTAATATCTCTTATTTTATATTATAAAACATCCTTGTTTTTTTGTTTGTTTTTTGTTTTTGCTTTATTTCAATAGGTTGACTCTAGTCAAAATGTAGATTTAACCATTTGAGTTTCTGTACAATACCCAAGAAACTCTGCCAGAATGATTGCTTTGTTCAAAACTGCTTTCTGTTTTAAAACTATTCATACTAAGTGTTATTAAAGTGTTAAATAGGGATAAAAAAGAAAAGTCCATCTTCAGTCTGAAGCTGGCAGAAAGATAAAAACCCAATGGACCTGGATTGAGGTGGGAACAGCCAGAGTACAGGTTATAACAAGTTCTAGAGAGGAAGGGGGCTAAGAGAGGGCGATGGAAGCCATGTGTGGAAGCAGACGACAGCCTTGGGGACTGGGGCCAGTGGTAGGTAAATAAGACCAGAAGGAGGGCAGCTGAGGGGGCTGAGAACTTCAAAGATGAGAGGCACTTTCACACCAAATTCAGGCAGTCACAGCTGTGAGCAGCCCGGAGGAAGGAATAAGGCAGGAGGCGTGTCGTGGAATTGGTGCTGGCCCAACTCAAGTTTGCATGTGTATCTCAACAGCACTTGTGTCTGGCTGGGAGAACATCAGGGCCAAGCAGGAGTGTCAGCCAGAGGCTCCATCTGAACTAGCTATGCACTGCATATGTTTCTCTGTCTGGTGGAATTCATCCAATATATTTTTTTAAGGCTCAGATTTTCTAATAGGGCAGTTTTGCTGGAGAGAGGATCATAAGCATCTGCCTGATGGCAGTTAACAAAGTGAAGACTAAGGTCTCGAAAGGAAACCTGCTTCTAGGAAGAACAGCTTATAAGTCTATTTCAGCATTTACACCTATAAGATCAACCCTTCACTTATTCAATATTTGACTTCCAATTTCCGGTGTCCAAAGGGGTCAGGTTTCTGGTGGCGGAATTTGGACCCAACAGGAGCTTATTCTAGTTTACAAGTATGATAGAATGTTTTATAACTATTAAATGTCAAGCATGAAAAGTTTTTTTTATACCATGAAAAGATGAATGAGGAAATGCATAGTTTTTCTTTCTGTAGGTGTGCAAAATGGGTAATGCCTATAAATGATTGTGGCACCCATTGGTCCAGGGCACATTCACTGGGGTAGCAGGTTTCAGTATGTGCTCAATAATTGTACTCCTCCCCTCCCTACCTGCATCTACCCAAATCTTAGTTGTCCTACAAGGCCCATCTCAGATAGCCGATCCTCCACAGCCTTTGGTTGTAAGCTTGAGGACACGAGTTGCGTCTTAGTCACCACTCATGGTGCATAGCACTGGGCCACAGCTGGCCCACATGGCGCCTTTGTGCACATAGAAAAAAGCACTTCTCCATGTGGGTGCCAGCAGCCCCATGCCAGCTGGGGCACAGTGGGCTACAGTGGGGCTGCCTTTTAGCCCCTTCCAGAGGAATGCCCTATTGCAGGCTATAACCTACTTTTTGCAGCTTCCTCCCCTCTTCCAAGTCTGAATTTACAAGCTTTAGAAATTCCTCATTTCTATTTAGAGATAGGCTTGACCATCTCTCTTTGTCTACCATCATCTGTAAGTCAGGTTTGTAAGCTTAATTCTGTTTTCCTCTCGAGGGAATACCTTGCAGGTCAAGACACTAGAATTTATGAACTTCAGTTAATGTTGAGACCATATTCCCCTGGCTTTCTTCTACCCTCACAAATGCAGTCTCCACAGTGGCTCAGGCACTTGCTGCCTAAGTGTCTGCTGGGGCCGGATGCTGGGCTGAGTGGCCAGGCCACGGGCTGCCAAGGCCATCGGCCCTCCCCCTACCCATGGCTTTTTCATTTGGCAGGCGATTTCTGCTTCTATTCTTAGCACTAATATAGAAATGAAATAAGACAAATACAAAAAACTCAATGTAATCTTTGTGTGGGTCTTGCTGCATTTAGAAGCTTCTGGAAAAGACAGAGGGAAGCTGCACTGGATTTGGCCCACCACACCCAGCTAGGTCAGGGTGCACACCCCCAGGTCCAAAGCTTGGCCTCAGAGTGCAGACATCTCTCTGGGGAGGGATTCACCCTAAAGTGAAAGATAGCCCCCTCTGCTTTGGGTGGAAGGCACTACTAACCTAATAGTTATGAGTCACCTTTACAGGCTGGGGGAAAAGGCACTGGATGGCTGGGCCTGCTCTGTCCCTCTGCTCCTGGAGGGAACCACCCTGCATATATGGGCTGTCCCCGGACTACACTGGGCGGAGGACAAGTGCTCACTGGAAAGAGAAGAATAAGGAATAGACTATATTTATCTCACTTTTGCTGACTGCTTCTTGGGAGAAAAGAATAGCAGGTTCTCAGGAGTGAAATGGGATCAAGAAAGGGAAGATGGCAAATACTTGGTCTGATCTTTGGCTTCAAGTGAAAGCCCCAGGGTCTGGGGACCGTCCTGTCAGTTGTGAGGTCTCTCATGGTTCAGACTGAACAACGCCATCCTATCAGCAGACCAGGAGTTTCAACATGAACCTCAGCATTTGATCCACCCAAATTTGTGTTGTTGACCTAGTGCTCTATCAGAGAGTATTTTGGGGTAGGGCAGGCAGCCATGGAACACTTGCATCTTTCAGAGCGCCTCATGTAGCCCACCACAGCTGGGCTGCTGATCCTGGCGCTCTGCCTGCCCAGGGGGCCTACATGGAGCGTTGCTTGTCACAGCACAAACAGATGGATGGATGGGCTGCCATCTGCGAGGAGCAGAGTCAAGGCCTGATTAGCTCCACTGTGAACTGTTACGAAGCTGCTTTATAACCAGAGACATAAAAAATATGGCTCCCTGCAAGGCTGCAACAGCCCACCGTTGTGCTGGTAAGACACTTCATTTGTCTAGGCAGCTTTGCTCTGGCTTATTACATGAGGCATAATTGCTTTTGTTATACATTCCCAGGTATCAGGAAAAGACATTCTGCCCGCTCCTCATTTTCAATGCCCTACTTACCAACTTCATCCCTGATGTTGGCAAGTTCGATTGACAGCTCTTTTTCTTTCACAAGGGCACTTTCATTCTGAAAAAAGAAAACGAACACTGAGAGTCCCCTAGTTTTATGCTAGATAAGCACTTCCACATGTTTAATTAATGAATCATATTAAGCAAATATTTATAAGCCTAAACCTTAAGGAGAAAATTTTCTCATTATATAAGCATATAAAAATATACAAAGCCAAGTCTTATTCATTTGGATCACAGTCAAAGTGCAAAGCTTGCAATATAATATTAATAATATCCGTGGTTGTGCTTTCTCCATATTGCTCTTGTATAGATCACCCTTCAATAGTTTTTGCATCTCTATGTCCTTCACATTCATCTACTGTTATATATTATCAAACATTGTTAATTAGCACTATTATGAGATTTTTGACTATGAAAATGTGCATGTCGTATTTCTCTGAGGGGCAAATGCTTATTTTACTAACTGCCTTCTTAAACTTGCCCTTTCATTCAAAGATGCACGGTCAGCTCCCTAATGAATAATGAGCATAACATATAACATAAAACATTTATCTTTGTAATTAGACCAACAATAAAACATAAGGCTTCAGAGTGTTTTTTTGTGTGTGTGTGTGTTGAATTCTGTATCAATAGAAGGAATAAGAAGAAATCTCTCCCTTGAAGTATCATTTAGTAAAAATACATCATTTGTAACTAAATAACTGCTAAGCTGGTTGCAAATCAATACATTCTATGACACAAGAAAGAAGTAGTTGAAGCAATGCTGAACATACAATCTTCGTTATTGAGTCACCATAAACATTTACCTTTCTTGTGATTTTATTACTACTACAATAACTAAGAAAGATGTGCCATGTAAATTCTCTTCAAGTGAGAGATCCCAAAATATAAAGTTTCTGTCATTCTGTAGAATGTACTCCACTCCCACAGCAAACATTTCTGAAGAGGAGAAATTGGCTAAAATGTGTTCCAAATATCTAGCATGAATATCACCAGGCCTTGTGAATGCTCTCTCTTTATTAACCCCCTTTGACTCTGGTTTTAGCACCTTGAGGAACCTGTGTCAGATTTGAACAGACAGTTTTCACAATCTTGTTTCTGTGTCTGCTGCGTTTAGACCTCGGTAACACCTGTGTCACTTTGGATTAAGGGAAGGGTTTCAGTTTATCCAAAAGGCATTTGCTAGGCAAAGTCATAATTTCATAATGTTAAAATAAAACTCTATTTGCAGAATAAACTGAGAGCTATTTTGGGCCCAGGTATCAACAGCCATTAATTAGCTCACGGTTCTCTTAGGAACAATGTAGCAATGATATGTCTTTGAGGGACAATGGACCCCATCTCTTTCATGAACCTCTCGCCTCCCATCCCAGCCCAGAGCATCCTTGCCTCCCCTGAATTTGAAGCCTAGAAATCCCACCTGCGGGTGTGTACTTTCCTAATCACTAAGCCTTGCTGCCTCTATGCCAAGACCATGGTATAGGGTTGTCATGATGGTTTATAAATTAATATACTTGAAGTCGTTAGAATGGTGCCTGGCACTTAGCAAGCTCTCCGCAGGGGTTATTTGTTATTATCACTCCTCTGTTTCCTTTTATTGTATTTGTAACTAGATAGCATCCTATAGATAATAGGTGCTTTTCATATTAACAATCAAAATGTGTTTAACACTTTTATGCCAATCTCATACTGTTTTTTAATTTTTTTTAATAGCACCTTCCTGGCTGTGCCCTGATTCTACTCCAAGTTCAAAGGCAGAACAGAACAGGGAATGTATTTTAATCAGACTGATCACAGTGACTATATGCTTGTTCTATACAATATGGCCAGCTGACATTCAGCTTGTTACTACCAGTTGAGAAGATCTGGTATTCTGGAGAGGGTAAATCCCAGTATTCACTCTACAATAATTGTAATCTAATGAAAAAACTAACTTGTTTCTACTATCCAGAATACTTTTGAACACTAATATTCTTAGTTCCTAAGCAGAGCCAGCGGATCAAAATACTGTACTTTTCAGACCAGAAATAGCATCACTCAAATATTCACTCTCAGAGTGCAGAGAAGTGTGGGCACCGAGAGGCGGTCAGGCAGTGAACAACCAGAACTTAATAAACAACAAATGAACTTGTATTTCTAACCCAAAGCCAGTAGTTCCCTCTGCACCAGGCAGTAGCCCTTGGGAAAGAAGCCCCGAAGGGAATGTGAACATGCCTGGGGGATCTCCCTGTCATACCAAACCCTGGCCACTTTCCGGCCACAGGGGAATCAGAGGTTTGGGGAAGGAGAGGCCTGAAGGTCCTCAGCAGGGAGGAGGACGGGCCTCAGCTGGGACAGCGCTCACTGCCGTGGAGATGGTCCACAAAGACTCTGGACTTGATCGCTTTGGGGAAAAGCTAATTCTGATGTCCGTGGCCAGGCCTGTCTCACTCTCTTTGTTGTAGGAGAAACACAAGTGAGAAGAAAAGGAAGGGAGGGGATGGGGAGACAGAAAAGAAGGAAGGAGAGATAGGCAGGAAGCAGGTGAGACTGGAGACCCTGCACCTGCTGGGGAAGCAGAGGCGGTTGAGAGAGACTGAGAAGGAGAATGATCCCATCCACCCTCATCCCCACCCTTTTACAAGTGCAGGCGAGAAAACCAACTAGTTTGAAACTACGGTCATCAAACGGCTTGCCCAGGAAGGGTCAGCTGCCTAACAGAAGCCACAAACACGATGCCTCAAATGTTCATATTAACATGAACCTCCCTAAACACTTTCTACGTGCCAGGCACTGCGCCAGGTAAGCCCTATACCTCACGACTCCTCCAAATTCAGCCAACAGGTCCTGGGTTTTTATTTGCCTTTATGGACGACAAAACTGGGGCTGTATGGTTACGTAACCAGTCAAAAAGTGGCAAATACAGGAGCTTTAACCCAGAATCACACTCTTCATCAAACACTAACACACCGAGATTCTCCCCTCCTATCCATGCTTATCTAGAGGTAACATCAAGGTTCAAACTGCATTGCTCCTCAGATGGGCTCCTAACACTTCTTACCACGAAGATTTCCATGTCTGATGGGAGAGAGGCCGTGTCAGCTTCTGACCACTGTTTCAATGAAAAGTTCCCCAGCTGTATTCACACCCCACCCACCACCTGAACCACTCGGATTTGTCCTTGGTGTTGTTTTGTCTGTTGGGTGACAGGACCTTTGTAGTGTAGCCTGCATGGGGCTGTACCTTCTGAGTGGGTAGCTATTCAGCTTTCCCTATCAGCTTCCCCCAGCCCTCTCTGATGGCCTCTGAGTGAATATATTGCTGCTGGGACCCTGGCGCGGCCACGCTCTGCTGCCGACGGCCAGCCTGTGCAGTTTGGCGACAGGCCTTCCCTAAGTGCTTGTTCTTGAAACACCCACTTTTCTAATTTCTGAATTCTCTGCATCAATGACATTAGCTTTTGTTTTCTGCTGGCCAAACCGGAATGACGGGTGCTGCCCTGCCATGCACTGTCCTGGGCAAGCAGTGAGCTTAAATGGCCAAACCGGAATGACGGGTGCTGCCCTGCCATGCAATGACCAAGGCTGTGACTGCAGGAACACTGTCCTGGGCAAGTAGTGAGCTTAAGGGGGCCTTCACTCTCTCCTCTTTGCCTCAAAAAGTTGTTCTCCATCCATCGTGGTAAATAGATCCCAACAGCTGCCTTGCTAGGACCTCAGGTTCTGCTCAATACCCAGGAGTGAGGCTGCCCCAAAGGCCCCCTTGGAAAGGATCTCATGCCACCATGCCCCTTCGGTGCCCCAGCTAAGCCAGGTCCGGGGTGGTGACATGGGGGATGACTGGAATGCGATCCAGGCCTCTTGTTCGGCCCAGTGTTAGGCCAGTGCTTCCCTACATGGGGAATGAGAGGAAAATTCCTACCTGGTGCCAAGCACATGACTCCTGCTTTCACTCCAAAGGGCTAAAAATAGAGCTCAGGATTAACCACCCCAACCATCCTAGTGATACAGTCCAGAAATCGCCAAGTCTAAGAAGGCCACCCTCTGTTTACTGTGTGACAGGCTTAACTGGAACAGACCCTGGAGAACATTCATCTAAGCCCATACCAGCAGCTGTGTCTTATCAGCTACCTCTCATATTTGGTCACGGACCTCTGCTTTGCACTCTGAGTTCTCTATTCTCTCCAGTGTGGCATATTGCAGCCACAGAGGAATCCAAATGAGCTGACCCATGAGCCCTCCAGTCTCCCCTCCATGAGCCCTCAGAAGACCCCCGAGAGTCTGCTAGGGTGAAGCCTACAGTTCTCAGATATCACTCCCATGGGGCTGCTCACAATCTCTGGGTGTTACAGACGCCTGGCAAAGCATAGGACCTGCTAATCATTCCATTAACTTCAAGCAACTGGATGTGTGGCCAAGCCCAGGCAAACCTGCCACTCCCTTATTTTAACATGTGAACCTGGTGGTAACAGGATGTGAACAAGTCTCTCCTTGTTAACATCATCCACGTGATTCCTAGTGGGCACCAGCAGCTAAGCCCCTCCTTGAATTAGAAGCCAACAGAACAGACCGTAGCCAGTTTGGCTCAGTGGATAGAGCACTGGCCTGCGGACTAAAGGGTCCCAGGTTCAATTCTGGTCAAGGGCACAAACCAGAATCGAACGCAGTTGCAGGCTCCAAAGGGTCCCGGGTTCAATTCTGGTCAAGGGCACGAACCAGAATCGAACGCAGTTGCAGGCTCCCGACCCTGGTCTGGGGCATGCGGGAGGCAACCAATCAATGTGTCTCTCTCACATCAGTGTTTCTCTCTGTCTCTCCCTCTCCTTCCTATTCTCTCTAAAAATCAATGTAAAAATATCCTTGGGTGACGATTGTAAATAATAATAATAATAATAATCATCAGAACAGCCTATTTATTAAAACTGAATGTTGGGTGAATCTGAGGTGCTGTCATCCCAACCAAACCAGAAATAGGAAATTTATACAAAACATTGTATTGAGTGCCCACTAAGTGCCAGGCAGACATGCCAGGCAGGATATTTCTGCCTTCAAGGAGCCTTTGAGTCTCCCAGGGTCA